CGCAGCACCAGTGGAAGCGGCACAGGCAGTTCTCCTCGAGCTGTACGCTCTCCTGGCGGTGTCCGCGACCGCAGCACAACAGGTCGCAGCCGCTGAGGTCCGGAGCACTGCTGTTGCAGGCGCGGCCGCGCGTGCCGGGCGAGCCGGTGCGCCGGTTGGGGGCGCAGAAGTCGGGCGAGTCGGCGGCGTAGAGGAGGTCGGCTCGGCCGGGAGGCTTGAGCGTGCGGACTGCAGGCAGCAGGGCTTTGCCGTCGTTGGTGCCCATGACGCGCGAGGCGCCGTGGAAGCGTTCCAGCAGCCGTGCGCCCACCTCGCGGAACGGAGGCAGCTTCTGCCAGCAGGTGCGCAGCGCGCACGAACCCGAAAGGCCGTGGCACTTACATTCGGTGCGCGTGTGGCTCCGCACCGCCTGCGGGAGCAGAGGGGCGGGGCGGTGGGCGGGGCAGAGAGAGGCGGGCGGGGGGTGGGGTGGGGGGAACAGCAGAAAGCAAAGGAAGCAGAGGGAGAGAAGGGAGAGCAAGGAAGAAAGGGAGGGAGGGAGGAGGGAGAGGGAGGGAGGGAGGAAGGAAGGAAGCAAGGAAGGAAGGAAGGGGAGGAGGGGAGGGAGGAAGGGAGGAAAGGAGACAGGTAGCCAGGCAGGCAGGTAGGTACAAGGTTAGAAGGAGAAAATCAAGAAAACGACCACTCAGAGAGGGAGAAAGGATGACAAAGACGAAGGAGGAAGAGAGTGGGAAGTGGAAACAGTGGATAGAGCCGAGATTCCAGGGTCCAAAGCCAGGGAGCGGGAGAGAATAGAGGGGACGCAGTGGTGAGATTCTCCATTCTCCCTGGAGTGGGGAGAAGCGGCAGCTGTCGCAGCCTAGCCCTCCTGCCAACCCGGCCTCCTCATTCCTACCCCTCGCGGCCCCAGGCAGAGCTGAGCAGACACAGCCAGCCGCCTGGGTGTCTGTCTCTGTCACCCCTCCCCAATCCTCTCAACAGGTATGTGGGCCTGTCCGGACATTCCTCTCCTGAGCCCCCTCCTCCCTGTCTGCCCGATGCCTTGGGCTCAACCTTAAAGGACACAGAATGTGTGGAGGGATGTTCCTTAACTACTCTAGAACTGAGACAGAGGATGTAGGAGGGTCCACCTGAATGCACTAAGGAGATCAGGATCCAGTACTCCCTTGCTTGCCAGTCTGAAGCTGGGTCTGGGCTGGCCTGGCCTCTGCTGACTTCCCACAGTCCTTTCCAAGTCAGTTCTTCTAGGCTTTGTTCTAACCCTCACTTTCTCTGGTGCCTCCGCCACCAGATCCCAGACCTTACTGTGGCTCCTATTCTTTTTCTCTGTGCAGTTTTGGTGCCTGTCCTGGGTTCTCCCTCTGTAGACCAGGTTGGCCTCGAACTCACAGAGATCCGCCTGGCTCTGCCTCCCGAGTGCTGGGATGAAAGGCATGGGCCACCACCGCTCGGGTTATGGCTCCTATTCTTAATTTCATCCCTAGCCCTGCTCCTGCCCTGATGTCTACCTCACTTGTCATGTATCAGAGGGATGCCACCCCACCTTGGGTCTCTGCTGGTCCTCAGTACTATTCTAGAAGTGTCCTTTCTCCACTCTGCTCACTGTTCCTCTCAGCTCCACACACCCACGTCCCCAACCCTCTAGACTGGACATCTCATCTGCCATGTGTATCTGTGTCCCGGCCCAAGTCCCAGTCTTCCCAAGTTGCCCATCTTGTTCACTCCCACACATATCAACACCCTCCTACACATTCACACCTTTACTTGTGCCCATGCTACCACAAATATGCTGCCACCCACACTCTGCCACACCCACTGGCACTCTCTTGCATACTCACACTTCCACACCTACAGCTCCTGCCCCTACGTACCAGCCTGCCTGCCTCATTGTTGTGCAGCTGCACCAGTGCCCGGATGTCTCCACGTCCCCGCTTGTGCTGGGCATCCATAAAGAGCCTTGACTTCTCATCCCCAAAGTCCACATCGTCTCCGCAGCCTCCCCACTCCCAGGCCGCGCTGGCATCTGGGGAACCTGTTGGCCCTGGAGGTCCAGGAGTGCCCAGAAGGCCAGAGGGCCTAGGCGGTGCTCGCCCACGGGGTGCCTGGCATCCACACTGCAGGAGTTCTCCCATGGAACAGGCCTGCGTGACTGCGTGGCTGGCGCCGGCTGCGGTAATCGCAAACACGAAGGCTGTCTCTCGGATGTCTGCGGAGGGAGGACGGAGATGAGGCCAGTGACTGCCCAGTATGATAGGGGACCCTCCTCCCCCAGCCTGTCCTGGGCCATCTGAGAGACAGGTGTGGAGGGGCAAGATGGGCAGAGTGCCTAGGGGGTAAATCAGGAGACAGGGTTCAAGCAGCCTCCCCAAACCTGCTCCCCCGGCAAGAAGAAGGCACATCCCTCCGGGGCCTCTCCCACACTAACCCTGCTGCAAGACGCGCCCAAAGGCCTTGCTGTGACTGGAGCAGTTCCAGCGTCGGAAACGGAACTGGAACTGACATTCTCGGACCCCCAGCCTTGCGCCCCGGGCGAGCTCTGCCACCACTTCCGGCTCTGACTGGCACAGCTCAGCCTGCCGTCCTGCCAGCCGCCTGGCCTTCCTGCAGATGCTGGTAGGATCCATGACCAGGGGGCTACCCACAGCCCTGGGGAGCAGAACAGCAGGTCAGGAGTGCACCTCCCAAAACATAAAAGACCTGGGGTGGAATGGGAATGAAGGAGAGGAAGCTAGCCCCACTCAGCCCACAGCCAGGTGCTACAGAGTCTCTCCTCCTACCCCTAACTGAGACTGATGTTGTCCCTCTGGCCCCCTTTCCATCCCATGTCTGTGTCCCCTCTCTTCTGAAGTCTAGACTGAAAATTGCATCACGACAAGAACTCAGTCTTATCCTTCTGTGTGCATCTCCATTAATAAACCCTTCAAGGGACTTTCGCTCAAGGTGAAGGCGGTTGTCACCACGGAGGCCAAGGCTAAAATTCAATAGGCCTAACCCAAAAGGGAAACAAGGAAGAAATGAGCAGAAAAAAAGATTAAGAAAGCTGTCAACACCCCCCGCCCCCATCTCATAAAAGAAAGTATTCTAAGAAAAGTAAACAGTATCAAGTGAGGATGTGGCCTTAGTGGCCTGCAACCTGGACAGCCCCAGAACAAAATAGGGGCCATCTGAAGGACAAAACCGCCATGTGGCATTAGAGTGTCTAGAGAACAGAGCCTGGGGGGGGGGGGGAGCCACACCCCTTCTTAGTTCGACTTCTTCTGTAAAATGAGAAATTTTCGCTTAGATAGGACCCGCCTATCCTGCTGCTCCCTGTTTCCCTGAGCTAGACCGCTGCAGGAAGGAGCTGGGAACGTAGCTGCTCAGCATTGTTGGCAAATAGGTGATGCTGACCCCTCTCTTGCTCCAGGGTAGCTGGCTTTCCCAGAGAGAGATGGCACCAAGCCAAGCCCTGTGTGCTAGAGTGATATAACCAACTGTGGGGTGGAGGGGTGATGTTTGGTTTGTGGGTAAAGACCTGCTGGAAAGTTCTGCACCTTGTCAGCAGCCTCTTTACCCGGCCCACCTTCGTTCCACCTGAGGAGAGAGCTGCCACTTGGTTTCCATAGGTTGTCAGCCAGGAATTCACACCTGGGGGGAAACCTGCTTGAATCAGATGGCTCCTATTTGAACATAGCTCAGAGCTCAGGCTTGAAGGGATATGTGGGCAGAGCTGGGGAGGTTAATTTGAGACCGTTCAAAACCCTTCTGCAGAGGGCAGAGAAAGACAGGTTGGCGGGGGGTGGGGTGGGGGGGTTTGCACACTGGAGGCAGTGGAGTATAAAATGTAGAGGAAGATGTTGGCAAAAGAGTGTGAGAGGTCAGGGTGGCCTACTTTTCAGCTTTGCTTCCGTGCATATCCGCCCCACTGTCCCCATTTACTCCACAAGTACGGGCTGCCCAGGCATGTCCTGAGATGTAATGTTCTTAAATAGCAACAAGAGGAATTTAGGTCTTAAGGTAAAACTCTCAACACTGAAGATGAGGTGCTCAGAGAGATGTTTGTAGAAAGATGTGAAAGCCCCATCTCTTAAGGATCTCTCTCTCTCTCTCTCTCTCTCTCTCTCTCTCTCTCTCTCTCTCTCTCTCTCTCTCTCTCTCTCTCTCTCACACACACACACACACACACACACACACACACACACACACACACACACACACTTGGGAATGATGCTGTTATCCCTACTCAAATAGTTCAGGGATCAAGCATCTCTTCTGGGCAGAAACAGATAGCAGAGGTTCCCTTGTATTGAGCTTGGGCGCCCCTCACCCCCACCCTGCCCAGCACCAGTCCTATCCCACTGTCTCAGCCCCAGAGAAGGGACCCAATGGAGTAATGATCAGTGAGCCAAGGTTAGGACAACCCAAGCTGGCTCCCAATGGCCTAATAACCTTGGAGAATTGATCAGCCTCTACCTGTTCATCACCTACCTATCTATCCTACCCCTAACCAAGACCGATGTTGTCTCACTCTTACTTTGTCCGTCCCATGGCTGGATCCCCTCTTTACTCCAGTCTAGACTAAAAATTGCACTACAAAAAGAATTCAGTCTTATCTTTCTGTGTACATCTTCGTTAATAAATCTGTCCACTTATCCACCTCATTAAAAAAGGATTTGGATTTGAGTGGCTTCCAGCATGGTTGTTCAGGGTAGGTAGATAAGGTTATGAGCTCCCTCGTTATTGGGACGGTCTTTTTTCTTTCTTCCTTTTTCTTTATTTTCCCTGGAAGCTTTTTTGGTACCTGATTTATATCCCTACAATGTTTATTCTGAAAGTTTGCATGCCATGAATTCTACATTATGGAATAATATATAGATATATGTAATATATATTATATATGTAATATATCATATATGTGTAATATATATGTAATATATTATATATATAGATATAGATATATAATGACAATGAATACTTAACATATGTTTCTGAATGAATGAGCCATAAGGCCCCCCCTTGAGTCCAGGTCCCATTGATGTGGTATCATATCATGATGCCTAGTGTCATATCCTCAAACATTTTCTCTCCCCGAGATGAGAGAGGCAAAGCGGGCCTCTCTGCAGCTGTTCAGTCCCTCTCAACCACCTGCACACCCTAACTCCTCCTGACTCTGCGAAGCTCTGAAAACTCGCCTTCCCCATCTCCATGGCCCCTACCACTAAGTTCCGCAGCCCCACCCCCACCCCGCCCCTGCCCTCTGCATACTCCCTATTTTCCCAAGGTTGAATGGACTTATCTTCCCAAGGTCACTCTGCCCCATCCCTCCCCTTTCCCGCCTCCTCCCTTGGCAAAGCAGGAAGAGTTTGGGGCATGCAAGGGAGAACTGCAAAACCTTCTTGGCCTTGTCTGCTTCCCAGGGGCTAGAGATAGGAAAGGAATCATGGGGAGAAGAAGGGCAGGGCCCCCTGGAGGTGGGGCTGGCCCTTCACAGGGTTGAGGGGCTGGCTGACTTCCTGGGAACGAGTCTTGTTTACCAGCTGGTCAGGAGGCGGGATGGGCAATGATAGCACTAGAATCCCAAGGGATCAGCTTGTTCCCTGCCCTCCTGTCCTAAAGATGTAGGAAATGAAACTCCAGAAAAGACACAAGACAGAGGGTATTGAACAAACTACCCAGCCCTACTTCTGACCCTGGTTTTTGTCATTTCTGGGTGGGCTGAGTCATTCCAGGCAAATCAGTTTTCTCTACGGACTTAAGAAAAAATGATGAGTTGATCCGGAAGTGCTCCAGTCTCAGTGGTAATATCTGACTCCACTTCTCTCGAACAGCTCCCCACCCTCCTCTCTCATTCCTTCTCATTTACTTTGCTTCCTGGACATTTGCTTCCTTACAAATGAGTGCTGCTTTGGGGGAGTCTGGATCAGTGTTGACCTGGGGTCAGCTCAGAGAAGATGCACACTTTTGGAACAATTTGTATATCTTAAAGCCGGAATGCATGGTGGTAAGGAACAGATATCCTACGTAGGTTCTGGGATATAATCTTATGGCCACTTCTGGGCACAGAGAACGTGCCTATCCCTAAAAGAACTCAGTATACAGACAAGAAGATAGGCTCACTCTAACTGTCCTGGCCTGCACTGAGAATTCTCTTTCAAGGACCACAGTTGATGGATCTGTGGCCCATTAAGATGGAATTAGAGGCCAGGCAGTTCCGACTAGCAATATCTATAGACCTGTGCCCCAGAAACCCCAATATTCTGGTTCAGCTTACTCTTCTACCTTTGGACTCGGAGAATAGAAAAAATGTTGAAGACCAGCTCATTCACCTTGATCGCTTCATGGTCACACAGATGAGCAAGGTGAGCAGAGTGGATGGATTCCTCAATTGCAGAACAAGTTGAGTAATTTTAAAACCAAAACAGAGCCAGGCATGGTGACATACACCTTTAATCCCAGCACTTGGGCAGCAGAGGCAGGTGGTGGGTCTCTGAGTTAAAAGCCAGCCTGGTCTACAGAGCAAGTTTTTGGCCAACTAGGGTTTAAAGGCTCAACAATAACAAATGTCCACCAACAGGAGTTGGTCTGGTGGCACATGTCTGTCATTCCAGCTTCTTGGGAGGACAAGGTAGGAAGATTGCCAGCTCAAGTAAGCTTGAGTCTGGGAAACCCAGTAAGACCGTATCTCAAAAAGTTCAGACGTAGCATCCTTGCCTTGAGGCTGTGGGCTCAATCTCCAGTACTGTTCAAATAAAATGAAAACCCAAAGCGGGACTGGAAGGAAGTGAGAAGACCCCAGGTGGTCCCTCACAGTAGTCCCACACAGCTCATCCCTGCTATCAGGGCTCGGGACTCCACCCCAGACCACACTTCTGGACTCAAGGCCACTTCCTCTGCAACTGTAAGTCAAGATGTTCTCAGCCAGCATCTCCCCAATCTCACCTCAGCTCCCACTCTCCCTCAGGAGCACCAGCCCTGGCCTCAGCTGCACCCTTCTGGTTGTCACTCATCTGCGTGTGTCCTGCCAGCGTGGTCCCTTGTCTTGTCTCCTCAAGTAAGTAGAAATCTCGTTCAATTAATGACAGGAATCTCACAAGCGGGCCTGAGGTCATCAGCGGAACACACACTCAGGAATTTGGGGATCCAGCCTTGGGCTGGATCTAGGCTCTGTCATTGGTTTGTGTGAAGTGGAGTTGAGTCCCTGGCATGTGAAACACACTTGATATTTGTTGGATGGATGATAAAAGTTAAATACCAGTTCCTCAGCTGGAAAATGAAACTCATAATCCCACCCTACCCCGCCCCCCCATGTATAATGTACAGAGAGTGGATCCCATCAAGTGCTTGTATCCTTAGACCTGCTCAATGCAGGGCAAAACAGTAGGGATTGTAGGTGGTGTGTGTGGAGCCCCAAGAATGTTCTTTTTGCAACACTCTGTCTTTCCTGTCCAGTGTGGATCTAGGTCTCCTTCTCCATTCAGCCTACCCAGTGTCCAGAGCACCCACTAGGATCCACCCCCTTACCCAGCTGGATCACTGAGGCCAGTGGGACCACCGACCATGCAGAGTGCCTAACCTCCTAGGAGAGTCTCACAGCAAGCACGCCAGTCTCTCTGCCCCGCCCCCAACTCCTTACCCCCAAGATCCTTCATCTAACCCCACCTCCTAGGAGCCAGCAGAGGGAGCTCTGAGCCCTGGGGCTGTGGGTGGGGGTGTGTGGAGGAGGTGGGGGAGGTGGGTGGTGGAAAGGGGGGCAGAAAAATGTTGCCTGACGGCTGCTGAGGCTGCCGGGCCTGTGCCCGCCCGCCTGTCCTGTCCTGCTCGGTCTAACTCCTAACTCGGTAATTACTGCTCCCCTCCCCCAGTCCCTACCCCCATCCCAACCACCACATCAAAGTCAGTGATGCCCCAGCTCCATTAACCCCTGCCTCCCCACTGCCCACCTGTGGCCCCCACTCACCCTTCCCCACACAGACACAGTTTGGTTCCCTGTGTCCTTCCTCACACTTTTATCTCCATCTTTTTCTTTTTCTTTTTCTTTTTTTGAGAGGCAGGGGCTTTCCCTTCCCAGACAGACTTCACTGTGCAAAAGGGCTTCCTGCTTGCCAAAGCTCTGGAGGCGATGCCCTCCACTGGATGCCTGGAGGACAGTGGTCATACTCCTGCATGTACAATGGAGAACACACATCTGGCCGGGGGGGGGGGGAAGGGGCCTGTGAAGACCTTGTCCCTCCTCCTGATTCCCACCCTCACTGCACATAAGGAGAGGACACCAAGAAAAAAAAAAAAAAGACAGGACTCTCAGCTACCAACAGGCAGCCTTAGCACCCTGGGCAAGTTCCCTCCTGTCCTTGGACCTTCTACCCTTACCACTGACCATAATAGACTAGGTTACCTCTCAGTCCTTTCTAGATCAAATTCTAGATTAAACAGAGGGCTCCGGGCTGGTAGAGCCAGCCAAAGAAGTCTCCTCCGGGCCACAGTTCTCTCTGCACAAACTCCCGGCTAGCCAGGAAAGAAATGCCAGGCTAGGGGGCGCTCTCATCAATCTGCAGAGGGCAGAGGCATCTGGTTCCCTGAGGCCTCCTGCTGGCTGGCCAGGGCTGGCTGCTGCCAGGCCCCCGATTCTCTCCACAGCTGCACTTCCCCATCAAAGTACACATTCTGGAATCCCCCTTGCAGGGCCCTGGTGATGGGGCCTCCCACTGACCTCCAGCCACCAACTCCAGGCTTCAGATGCGAACCGGGCAGGAGGGAGCCTCACCCCTCCTCAGCCCCCCCAGGAAATGTCACAGTGCCAGGACTCTGGTGGGCCCAGGGCATGCTCTGGCCGGGATCAAGCCAGCCTCCTTTGCCCCTGCCCTTTTCTGCTCACAGCCCCATTGTCTCCCCAGAAGGGAAGCTGCCAAGGCTGAGGCCTGGAAAAGGGACTGGATGGCTACCCCACCCCCAAGCCATCCCTACTCTGGAGCTTGATGGAGAGCCAGCATCAGCATTGACCAGGAAGGATCAGGGGCCCCAGATAAAGACAGGATGGCCTAATGACCAGGACCAGCATGGACACACAAAGGTATGGCTGAAGGCAGTTGGAAAACCTGAGAGTGCCAGGAAGAGGTCTGGTCCTTTTCCTGCCTCCCTGTGGGGTCCTTGACCTTTAGCTCCGGTGGTTTCTTTTCCATAAAGAGGGAAACAAAAGTGGGGTGACTGGGGGTAGATTGGGCGGCTTCTTCCTGGTGGAACAGGGGAGGATTGGTTTATTTCTCAGAAAATATAGAACAGTGAGAGGAAAGAGGAAGAGAGAAGAAGGGAGACTGATTTGGGTCTGCTATGAGAGTGAGCTATTTTCTACATCCACTGATTGGAGGTATAAATAAAGATGGATCAGACATTGTGGAGAGGGGAGTAGAGAGCAGAGGAGGAGGGGGACCTGGTGACCTGGGAGCCAGGGCCTCTTTCCTGCCCTTACTCTCAGGACAGAGTTCTTGGAGGGAGGGCAGAGCATAGGTTGGATGGCCTGGAGGCAGGGGCTGGACAAGATGACCTCAAGAGAGCCTGGCCAGTGTCCTGGAATCTGAGGTTCTGTGATTCACAAAGAAGATACGGTTACACTGGAGAGATACACAGAGGCTGGCGGCGGAGTTTAGAAAGCACGCACTGCTACAGAGCAAGACCCTGTCTCAAAACTAAACAAGAAAAATTAAAAATAGAAATCTCGCACTGCATTGGGAGGAGGTGGAGGGGGAAGAAAGGTGGAGGAAAAACTTCTTTGTAACCAAAAGGCCTGTTCTCTGAGCCGATTGACCCAAAGCCCGGGTCACTCTCCTCTAGGACCCTCTTTTAGTGACCTAGACAGTCAAGTCACCCAGAGACCCTGGAGTCCTCCCAGCCCCTCGCCCACCCATGGATGGATTGTGGAAATGGCTGCTGTAGGTCACACTGCTTTTCTGACCACCCGTGGAGTTTCTAGCCTGGCTATCATCCTCTGAGAAGGGAGGGGAGGAAGGTACCAGTCCTAAGAACCCAGCTCTAGTGAGACTGGGAGGTAGGGTGGCAAGTGCCAAGAACCTCAGGCTAACAACCCAGCAAGATCTACCCACTGGCCCAAGCCTGGCCCCGGGTAGGCTATGACAGGACAGGAGCATGCTCAGGAGTCAAAGACCATGAAAGTCAACCTGGACTCAGACCAAAGGAATTAAGTGTCAGAAATAGACAGGGAAGGGGCCAAGGCAGGTGGGAGGAGCAGGTTCTCCCTGAGACACATCTGAGAGAAGCATTCCCCGGCCACCTTATCACCCTGGCTGGCCCTCACTCTTCACTTAGCTCCCGACTGCAGCTGTGGCCATGAAGGCCCCTGTGTTCTCCCACACCTGCCCTCCTCATCTCCTCCCCCACTCCCTGCTTCCCAGCGTAGTCAGGGTCAGTCTCCAGAGGGCCCAGGCCCCTCTCCCGTTGGCTTGGCTCCCACCCAGCAGTCCTTCCTGAACAAAGGAATCCTCACAGATACAAACCCAGAAAGCCACACTCCGTAAACCTGTGTCCAGCACCTATACTATCCTGGGCTTCTAGAACTCTCGAGACAAAGGAACGGGGCAAAAAAAAGACCCCAGAAAATACAACTGTCAGTCAAGTGCAGTAACAGCAGAGTTGCCCAAGGCTCAGAGCATAGTGAGAGCACAGGATAGCTGTGGGGAGGGGGGCGGTTCTGGGCAGTCAGAATGACAACTCTGTGGAGGAAGTGGTATTTATTTAATTGTTAGAACAATTTAGACCAACGGGGAAGGAAGAAAGAGATGGCAGAGTAAAATTAGGAAAGGTGTGTAAGAGGGCAGAGAGAGGGAGCTCTTTGCCAAACATTACTTTTGACTCTTTATTCCGTATTTAAACGAACCCCACTTTTCATTCCCTGCGCCCCCCGGGGGGTGCAGGAGGATGAGAAGCAGGATGGGGAAGAGGGCTCCTAATGTCAGGTCGTTCTGTAGGTCTTTCCACCCAGTCCTCCCGGCAAGCCTGGCAGGTAGGGAGATTGTTCTTTTAAAACAGAGTTTGTAGGGTAGGGTGGGAAAGTGATTCGCTTAAAACCACAGATTTAATGGCTGGGATTAGATCCGGCTGTCAAAACTGCTAAGTACCAGCATCGCAGCTAAACTAAAGACGCATGTTCGCTAGCCCGAACCTGGGTCTTGTATTTGCCCTCTCACTGACACCCATGAGGATGTCTCTCCCGCATCGCGGAAGGATAGCGGCCAGCAGCTTCCTGTGTGGGCACACTACTCAATCTCAGTCCAGGAGAGGGATGGGCCTGCCCCACCCCTGGGTCCAAAACCGCGAAGGCGGGTGAGAGAGGACGGAGAGGGTCGGAGTCCAGCCAATGACGCGGCGAGATGCAAATGTGGAAGTCCTTGCTGTCTTAGGATTGGCTAATCTAGCAGCACTCTCGCCCAAACCCCTCCTCTCCGAACACTGAGCTATTCCGGGCGGGTGTTTGTGGCTCTAAAAACTAAGAGGGAAAAAAAAAAGTCTTGAGGATTTGGATCTGAGTTGTCCCGGCGGGGGCCCCGCTTCTTCTCCTCCCCTATCTTACCCCTCAAGGCTCAGAGCTCTGGAAACCTTCGAAGTCTAGGTGTCTGCTCTGGCTAAATCCAATCCCAGAGTCCGAGTCTGAGAATTTGCCCCATCCCTCGGCCGGCCTGTCCCTTACTTGCTTCACCAGGACGCTCCCCGGTTCCCACATCTCCGCTACACATTTTTAAAAAATCGTTACTTCCCACGTCTGGAAGGGCCGGCCTCCAGGATCTCCTTCCTGTCTTTCTTACATGCTGGAGTGGGGGGGGGGGGCGCGGGGGCGGGAAGCGGTGAAGAAAGTCAGAGTCCTGACTCAGTTTCCCCATTTACATTCCCTTTTTCTCCACACCGCCCATGCTGAAAGAGCTAGCCATGGTGAGGTCGTAGGTAAGGAGGGGCGGGAAAGAGGCGGCTGTTTGACCCTCTGCCTTACAGCTTCCCACCTCCTTCCCGTCTTTTCCCCAAATCCTGTTCCAGAGCCCTCCTGGCTCTTTTCTCCCGTCTTCACCTAATCTCTCACTATGGGTCTCATGATGTCCGACAGCTTTTCCCTCTCTACCTGCCAATTCCTTGTGATATGAATTGGACACATTTCTTTGTGGGGGGGAGAGAACACGGTGGGGGGGACACACAATAGAATATCCAGGGGCAGGGAGCGTCAAGGTGGCACTTCAGAAGTGCTCGGGCAGAGACCAGAAAGCAACTGTCTGCTAGGGTCCCGGTGCAACTGCCGGGTGGCTGGGATCCCGGAGCGGGTAGAGCCTGAAGGCAGCCTGCAGGATCGTGGTACTGAGTTCCAGTACTGGCTCGGGGTCCCCACCCTCTGGCGTTTGGAGTTGCGCCGGGGACAGTTCCCATTCAGCACTCACCACCACAGTCCCCCGACGTGCGCGGGGCACAGGAGCAGCAGCAGCAGCAGCCCGAGGCGGGAGGGCACGGGCGGCAGCATCGTGAGCGCTCTACCGCCGTCTGGCGCGGGCGGGGGGGTGAGGCTGCGGGGTGAGCCGGGGCGCGCCGCCGCCGGGTTTCAGGGCGAGCGCGGCGACCGAGGCGGCGGCCGGGAGACGAGGACTCCGCCGGCGGCGGCAGCGGCGGCGGCGGCGGTGGCGGCGGGGGGGCCCATCCCGGGCGAGGAGGGCGCGGCGGAGGCGGAGAGCGGACCGAGCAGCCAGCGCCTGTGTCTCCTGCGGAGCTCGCTGGAGAGAAGAAATCAGAGCCGGGGGCGGGGGTGGGAGGGGAGCGGGGCCGGAGCGTGGGCGGGGGAGGGGGACAGGGGGGCCACGGGGGTGGCAGTTGCGACAGTCAGGCGGCGGGACTCCTGGGAGGGAGCCGTGCGCCCCGGGGCGGCGGGCGCAGAGCGCAGCGGAGGGCGGGAGCCCGGTGCTGGGGCGGGGCCCGCGCGCGCTCCGGGGTGCGGGACCCGCCCGCCTGCCCCTCTCCTCGCCTCTGCGGGGGTTGTCCCCTGCCATCCCCGGGCCTGCGGCACCGAGTGGCGGGAAGAATAGTAGAGAAGGGAAAGGGGGGGAGGAGGGAAGAAGAGGAACTGGGGAAGGGGGACTGGCTGGGAGAAGTTTGACAGGTTTGTTGACTGTAAAGAGAGAAAACTTCCCAGGAATGAGGGAGTTTGGGGGGAGGGAACAGTGCTCAGGGAGATACAGATGGGGGCCAGGGAGGAAGTCGGCCCGGGGCGCGGGATGCTCCGTAGAGGGCTGTCCAACTCGACTGCCGGCCCAGCGCACTTTGAAGGCGTTACTTTCTTTTGGATAGCCAACTACGTGTCATTTGCCCCTTCTTCAGCCTCTATCCCGGCAAGGGAGCCAGCCCCAGGCCTGGGTTCTAGCTCCCCAGCCTCGCGTCCAGCCGGTGTTTGGGGGCGGACAGTGTGGGGGAGATAAGACTGCAGTGGAGCCTCTCCAGGGCCTGCGCTCCAGCATTCGCTCCTCAGAAGTGAGGTGCAGGGCCGAGCTTGCAGACTTCCAAGAGAAGCGGGGGTCAGCGCTTGCTGTAGCCGGGTCTCCGCTTGTCCACGGGTCCCTGCCTCGAGTTTCTTCCCCAACTTGGCCCGGGCAGAAGGGGTGGGAAAGCCAGCTGCAGGTGAGGTGGTTTATCTGATTCTCTAATGCCACAAAAATGTCTTTGATGCCCCTGACCCCCTCCCCACGCGGGGGAGATCAAAGGCCTCGTGGGGAGGAGGGATAGCTCCATTCATCAAGCCAAGCGGCTGGCAGCGGGGCGGCAGCCTCTGCTCCTCTGGCCTGGGGCAGAGGCCCCCCGACGTGCCCCAGGAGTGCCGAGGGACAGGTGGTGCGGACATTCCGAAGCAGGAGCCAATTTCTCTGCCACCACTATCTAGAGGGCCCATCAACCTTCAACAGGGGACCTTAAGCCCACGTGGCGGAAATTTCACACCAGAGGGGAAAGTTCCTTGTCGTTTGGGGTGGGGAGGAATTTAGAAGTGGAAACTGAGAACATGGCCAAGACAGACAAACACCACTGGTGAGCAGAGAGGAGGCAAGGTCCTGCGTCCAGAGAGTGGGGCAAATGGGTGAAGATGAGACTTGGGGCCAGAACCGAGGCAGGAGGAGACCAGAGATGCCTACATCAGGAAGGGGAGCAGATCCGGGGGAAGGAAGGGGGACGCAGAGTGAAGAAGAGAGAGAAGAGGAGAAATCTTAGCCTAGGCACAAAAATCAGGCCTTGGATTTTCTGGGAGCCCCAAGGCAGGGTCCTGGTGTCAAAGGTGCACCAGTGTAGTCCTTGTCCTGGGTACTGAGATTTGAAGAGTGTGGGTTACTCTGGGGAAGGAAAGAAGCAGGGGAGGAGGAGGAGGCAGCGCTTAGCCAGATAATGGACCAACCTCTGTTCCTCCCACCCTAGCGCGCACACTGCTCCAGCACGTAGCAGTTTCGCACACTGCCTTTGTATTAGGCAGTACCAAGCCGGCACATTGCACATTCAAAGATATACCAGGCTGGGTAAATACTGAAGATAGTTGGTGCCAACCTGGCAGCCAGGAGGTTTGGGGGGTCCCTGGAGGCTGCAGGTGGCCAATGACCAGCTCCCTGGGAACCAGTGCCTCTGTTCCAAGCCCCTTATCCCCACCCTGCTACTGTTATTGCAGATTATGAAATGCTCTCCCTGTCCTGCATTCTTCTCCGAGGCAAGAATTTTAATGTATTTGTCTTTGTCATCAGGGGACCTGGGCTCTGGGATCGCCCTGAGGAGGGAGCGCCCCAAATCTAGTCTGTGCTGATTCCAGACCCCAGGCTCTCTCAGTTACCCCACCTCCCCCCCATGCCCTAGCCCTGCCCCCTGCCTCCCCCTCCTAAGACACTGTCTCTCCGTGGGGTGGATAAAAATGATGTTATTGAAACAACAGAATTGGGAGCAGTGGCAGGGAGCAGGGATCAGCTCAGGAAACTGGGGTGTTTGCCAAGAAGCCTGCTCCCCCGCAGGCGGCCTTTCTGCCCCTACCCCCCACCTTTTCTCTAAACACACATACACACACACACACACACACAGAGTTGGCCCCACCCCTCCTGCAATGTGCCCCAGCCAGATCTTGCAGAATCTTTAGCCATCCCTGGACTCTCCAAGCCTTCGTCCATCCCCCCCCCCCTCCCCAGCCCCAGTGCAGAATCAGTTGGCAAGTATTGCTTGCAGAAGCATCAGAGCTGAAAAGACTGAGGCCTGAGCCTGTGACAAGACAGCCGGTCTGGAGCCCCTAGTCCAGAGCTTTGGTCCCAAGGTATTTATGTTTGTCATGTGGAAACACCAGGGCTCCCGGGATCATCCTGCCTTACCTCTCTATCTGCACACAGGTGCTCCCCTTTGCCCTTGGGCTGGAATCTGGACAGAGTCAGATCAATGACTTTTGTCCTTGTGTCCCCTCAAACCTTCAGAAACTTGAGTTTGGAGGTTCTGGGGGTTTCAAGTCACCGCTGTTACCTAGTAGATTTTCCCAAAGAGCAGAGATGGGGACTGAGGCACACAAACAGCTGGAGATGTGTGTGCACACTCACATGTACATCAGATGGACCCAGGCAAATGCACAACCCCACAGAAACCACACCCTCGCCTCCCATTCCACAATACTAGGTAATTTTCATGGGCAGGTACAGATGGAGAGAGAGCTGATGGGCTGGCTGGGGCTGAGATTCACACCAACCTCCCTTACAATCACACCCATGTGCACACAAAGCACACACACACACACACACACACACACACACACACACACACACACACGCTGCCTCTGCATATACGCCTGTCTAGAGAAACATTGCATGGGATCGGAACAGAAAAGGGAGTAGTGTAGCCGTGGGGCAGCTTGAGTTTGGAGATTTGGAGATGACAGCCTGGGCATCGTGAGCCTCCAGCCCTTCCCCCATCGCTTCGCCTTAGTGCTGTGAACCTGTAAATTCCACTTCTAGGTTCTGGTGCAAAGACCCTGAAGGGGAGACTTGGGTGTCTGGCTGTGGGGTTGAAGAGGAAGGAGGGGCAGAGGTGGAGACTGTGGAGGGAGAGACAGGCAGCTGGAGACAGATAACATCGGAACCGCTGCAGGCGAAAGCAGAGCCCTCTGTCCCTACTGGATCCTCTCTCTTTCTGTGTCCTCATGTCTCCCCCACGTACAGAATTCGGTCTCTAAATCATTCTGTTGTGGGTTGTTTTCCCCCCCCCCTTTCTTTCCTCAGGATGGCTGAAGCTGCAGGAGCCCAGGAATTTAGGCCTGTGAACCTTCCCCTCCCAATAAGCTCCATTCTTTCCCCTTCCCGTTCTCTACATCTCTAGCATGGGGTCTAAGTCTCCTTTTCAGGAAGGGCCTTGAGAATTCCTCCAAGCCCTGGGTCTCTGGAATTCAGAAGAACAGAGACCACTAGAGAGATGGAGGGGAGGAAAAAGGAAGAAAAGAGAGAATCATTTCTTCTTCCTCTGGGTATCCCAGATAGCTCTATTCAACTTCCATAGCCTGTATAATATATCCCGAGAGTGTGTCCACCCTTTGCCTCATCATACCTGCCTCACAGGCCCAGCTCCCGAGGAGATTCCATCCGAACCATTGTCTCCACAGGGACTCCCACCTCAGAGCCCACCTGCCTCCCCTCTTCCTATCTCTATCCTTTCTCTCAAGTCCAATCCAATCAGAGAGAGAAATAACCTGCCTGGAAGAATCTTGAAATAAAGGGCAGGGGCTGAGCACAGAGGGCCTGCCTCCCACCAAGGCTGTGTTGGGAGGACATGTCCCAATGTCCTCCCAACACAAGGACAACACAGGACAGGGAACACTGGCTTCCACTTAGTTCAACCCCAGCAGCCCAACAGGAGACGTTAGCCCCGTGAACCTCTGCAATGTCTTGTCCCAGGCTGTCTCCTGCCCGGGTTTTCCTTTGTTGTCTGGTCTTTGTTTTTATGATAGTGGATCTGCTTCTTGAACTCAAGACCTCAACCATTCCAGGAAAGCATATTATCTCTGAGCTGCATCCCGCAGTCCAACTCCTGTGGTTTTGACGGGGGGGGGGGGGGGGTGGCAGCCTAGTCAGTCAGAGCTCCAGAGTCCAGGTCCTCAGAGCCAGCCTCTGTCTGGGTTGTATTACTGGCTGTTGATGCTGTCACCCTGGCAGCAGGAAGCACCTACTATGTGCTGGGCAACCAACTAGATAGAATAATCACGTGGATTAGTGTAATGGATCTGACTAATTACAGTGTCTCAAAAAAAAAAAAAAAAAAAGGAAAAAAGAAAAGAAAACAGTCTTGAGGACACCTGGGAGAATGAAAGGGCCTAGGAAGGTTCTTGGGGGACAACGAGCCACTCAGAGAATGGAGATGTTTCTCTGAAGAAGAATGTTCCAGCTAAGATCTAAAAAGACAATCAGGAGGCACAAGGAGGGAAGGGTGTTTTAAGCAGAGGGAACAGCCATTGTGAAAGTCCTGCTAAGAGTATGGAGGGAGGGACAGGTGGGGGTCAGTGAGCTTGTGGCAGAACAAGGCGATTAGGCTCAGGGATTTGGGGTGATCAGATGAAGAAAAGCTTTCTAGTCATGGGAGTGATTTTTTTTAAATTATTGTTTCAAAAGCAGTGACGTGCTACAGGCCAAATCCATTGTCGATGGGAAGAAAAGGAGATGGAGGGAGATCTCCATAGGACAAGAGACCTCACACGTATAAAGACCAAAAGATGCAAAGTTGTGCTCCAGTGTTTACAGGGCAGGCAAATTACAAATGCTCAACTTACCACGAGGCTATAGATAAACCCTCCATCAACTGAATCTATCCTGCGTGGACAATGCGTTCAATACATCTAACCCACTGAGTGCAGTAGCTTGGCCTGACATCTCATGGGCATGCTCAGAACCCTTACATTAGTCACTTGATTTATAATAAAGCACTGACTATTTCATATAACGTATACTGTTCTGAAATGAAGAATGGAAAGCTGAATGGGGTACAGCCCACACAGGTGGGTACTTTATAGGCATGAAGGGTTAAAAAAAGACAAGCAGCACAGTGTACAGGAAGGACCATCTCATGTTTCCCCCTGGTTGGGCTGCCCCGGAGCTCGGGAGAGCATCCTACTGCATATGATTAGACCAAGAAATGAGATCCAAAGAATGATGTCTAGTGGATGCAGAGAACTTTCTTGCCCTCATGAAGGCAAACCTCAGTAAGTGGGGTGAGCCAAGAGCAGTTTGTAAGTAGCGACTCACCACATAAAAGTTTGGGGTAGTTGCTCTCGGGCTGAGAGAAGGAGGCAGTTGTATCTCGAGGAGCCCGTGGAGAGGGATCGTTAGCGAAAGTCTGTGTCTTTTCATGGAAGTTCATTTCATTGGTGTGCAATTAATTGTACATTGTTTATGCTCTTTTCTGTATTCTTATTTTCACTGGGGGAAAAGTGTGTGTGTTTATGTAGACACATGGTCAGATTTTATTTCTACAGAAAGGAAAGCCAGAAAGGTAGAAACGCACCAGGAGTCCAGCCTAGAAATATCCCTCTGTCTCTAATATGGGCCATCTTTGAGTTCTACATGGTCCTTGAACCAAGTATATGAAAGTCTCATGGGACTGCAGGAAACGGGAATGACCTTTAAGGAGGCCTGCCTGTATCCTCTAGAGAAACATCTAATGAAGTTAGGAGGTTGAGGATTATGGGTATCTTCTTTTTGGTTTTCCCAGAAGCCCAGAGGTAACCCCCTTCTTCTCCAACATCCATTCTGTACTGCTTAGCCACAGAAAATGATGTCCCCTGCAATGGGGTGACAGGAGCAAAAGGCGGGGGGGGGGGAGTCAACGTAGGAAACCCCTGGAGATTTCACTGGGGCAGTAGGGCATGGCCACTCCTATGCTTTGAGAAGATGGGTTATGACCCTCACTGCGGAGACAGGATCAGAGAACAGCCCAAGTTACAGGGAGCAAGAGGACCAGTTACAAGACTCTGTGGCTGGCTGTCAAAACAATGTGGCTTGGACCTGGATGTGTGGCAGAGGGGAAGAGGGAAGAGGACATGGCGACCTGTGTCAGGGACCTGGAGTGGACTGGGAGACTTGGTGAGAAAGCCTAAGGGCAGCTCAGGATGCCTCGGAGTCTTAACCCCTAACAGCATGGATGCTGGTGTCGTTCACCCTCAGAGCAGTGCTCAAGGGGGATCGACTTTGGGCAAGGTTGTGAATTCGAGATGCTTCCAAAAACAAACATCCGTGAAGATTTATCTGGCAAGCAGTTAGATATCCGGGCCTGGTGCAGAGGGCTGTAGGGTACAATTAGTGAGCTACATGGGCTGAGTCATTGCAATGTAGGGTACAATTACTGTGGATTTCCCAGAGGACAGTATGGGGTTGAGAATAGCCTTGAGAAGTGGTGATCAGTCATGGCTCAGTGAGGGATGAGGATGTGGAGGAGACAGAGGAGAGGCTGCGGACCACCGAAGACAAAGAGCACAGCAGTTTCACTGAAGCCAAGGTAAGGGCCGCCCCAGGAGGCAGACAGTGGACCTACCTGTCGACCCCTCTGAGAGGTCAATAACAGAACTGTCTTCTAGAAAGCAGGATGAAAAACACCGGGTGGGCCAAACCCCAGGCCAATTTTGCTGATGCCCAAACCCCATCCCACCACCTTCTTGCCATGAAACTTTCGTTGGCACTGGTTGGCTTGCCAGATACAACCTGCGCTTAACTTGGCATCCTCCTGCCCGAGTCCAGTTTGGCTCTTACTTATCTCTCACTTTGTCCCCCGGGAAAGTCCTGGCCGTCCACGTAGCTCTTGGTCAAACCCTCAGCCCTGGCCCACCCACTCCCCTTCTCTGACCTCAAGTCTCAGCCAGCCCCATTCAACCCCAACTTCCCCCAAGACCTGCGATACCTGGAGCAACTCCTCCATTTCCCAGGAGCTCACAGCACTTTAAATCTGCTTTTTTAAATCACTAGACAGGGGACGATATCCTGCAGGGAAGAATAACCCAGGGCAGTTTAGTGGAGAGTGGTGTATCCTCACGCAACCGGGGCTTCTGAGCTTAGATAAGAAATTGGAGAGTCCCTCACATTCCTGGCTCCTCACACTCCAGGCCTCGGTTAACTCCACACCCTGGTTAACTCCAAAAGCCTCCCCTCACGAAGTCCTAGCACAGGGCCACAGCGCCATCTCCTGGCAAAAGGCACACTGTTCCTTAGGAAAGACTGGAAGTGTCCACAGGACAGAAATGTGAAGGTAGAGTGAACTCCCGATTTGTAAGGTGAGCATACAGTTTTGGGTCTACAAAACTAAAGTCTTGACGCCGGGCGGTGGTGGCGCACGCCTTTAATCCCAGCACTCGGGAGGCAGAGCCAGGCGGATCTCTGTGAGTTCGAGGCCAGCCTGGGCTACCAAGTGAGTTCCAGGAAAAGGCGCAAAGCTACACAGAGAAACCCTGTCTCAAAAAACCAAAAAAAAAAAACAAAAAACAAAAAAAAAACCTAAAGTCTTGAAGATGTGTGGAGCAAGCCCTTGTGTACTGGGGGTGGAGCTGCACATCTGGTCTTGATTTCTGGAGATTTGTACCACCAAAAGTGATCAGACACCTCATAGGACTTCTGAACTGACACTCAAAAGAAGCTATTCTTCCCCTGGAACTGGAGTTACAGACAGTTGTGAGCTGCCATGTGGGTGCTGGGAATTGAACCCAGGTCCTCTGGAAAAACAGCCCATGCTCTTAACCTCTGAGCCATCTCTCCAGCCCCCAAAGAAGCTATTCAAAAAGGGGGTGGAAGCCGGGCGGTGGTGGCGCACGCCTTTAATCCCAGCACTCGGGAGGCAGAGCCAGGCGGATCTCTGTGAGTTCGAGGCCAGCCTGGACTACCAAGTGAGTTCCAGGAAAGGCGCAAAGCTACACAGAGAAACCCTGTCTCGAAAAACCAAAAAAAAAAAAAAAAAAAAAAAAAAAGGGGGTGGAGCCGGGCGGTGGTGGCGCACGCCTTTAATCCCAGCACTCGGGAGGCAGAGCCAGGCGGATCTCTGTGAGTTCGAGGCCAGCCTGGACTACAGAGTGAGTTCCAGGAAAAGCACAAAGCTACACAGAGAAACCCTGTCTCGAAAAACCAAAAAAAAAAATAAAAAAAAAAAAGGGGTGGGTGGGTGGGTCTATATGTGAAACTATGGTTATAAGTACATTTTGGGTGTTTGAGTAGCTGGAAGTAGCCATGTTTATACACAAGTATGGCTAGACCACTTGATAGAATATTACACAGGTGTCAGCCACAGAGAAATCCTGTCTCAGACCCTCCCATTAAAAAATTACGAAGAGGCCAGGCGGTGGTGGCGCACGCCTTTAATCTCAACGCTCGGGAGGCAGAGTTAGGAGGGTCTCTGTGAGTTCGAGGCCAGCCTGGTCTACAGAACAAGGTCCAGGACAGGCACCAAAGCTACACAGAGAAACCCTGTCTTGAAAAAAAAAAAAACAAAAAACAAAATTACGCAGGCTTTAAAATGTGAAGTATGCGTATTGTATTGGAACCAGGAACATTCACTATAAAATGATGCCAAGTGATGAAAAGAACCTCAAGCGTAAGACTTTTTTTTCAAAGTCTGATGTCGTCCAGACTAAGTAGTCAAGGATGGCCTTGAGCTTCTAGCCCACCCTGCCTCTACCTCCCCAGTGGGATGAGAGGTGTGCCTCACCATTCCAGGTTTACGAAATGATGGGGATTGAACCCAGGGCCTTCTACATGCAAGGCAAGGACTCTACCAACTGAGCCGCATCCCCAACCTTGCTAATTTTTGTCATCAAAACATCAGCTATTTAATTGGGGGGGGAACCAAATAAGTGGGGAATTAATTAGGAAAATGTTGCAAGTTCACAGGGCTAAGTGTCCTTCGGGGACAGCCATGTTCAGAGACCCCCTTAGCACGGGCCTGACCCAGAGCATGAGCTTCGTAAATGTCTGTGGAGCCACTAGGTGAACAGGACAAGGGCCTAATACGCCTGCCGCCTGCCACGGCCCTGGTCAGTTCTTCTCTGCCCTTCAGCCTGTGGCCCCCAGTTATTCGTTCTGACTGTGTAAGGGCCCAGCCCGTGCAGGAAGGCTGTCACTGAACCCCACAGACCAACCTCATGCTCCTCTCTCTCAGTACCTCCATTTCAGGTGAACCTCGCATGGCCAGAGGGTGGTTCACCAGTGAGCCAGGTAAGTCACACTTTTGGACTCACGTTGAGAATCAACTCTTGCATCTTGAGCCTGTAAAATGGATCATCAGCAGGACGGGTTCTGTCGATTTAAATGTTGAGATGACTTTGGGGTATGAGAGGTTTGCTTGGAGCAATATCTGTATAAAGATGGGAAGGAATAGGGTTGGGTACACAAAGTCTCAGCCGGTCCCCAACCCAGGAGCCCCTTGCCAAGTTAAAATGGTCATGCCTTTGCCATCTTTATCATTGGCTACGTGGGCAGCCCCAGAAAGGGTAAGAGATGTTTCCTGCCACTGAGAGGCGTTGATTCTGGAGGACCTTGATGACTGGAGACCTACATCTGCTGACTGCACTCCTGGCAGCTCGTGAGAAACCCCTTCCTTGAAGAGGAACCTGGGCAGTTCGGTTGGTTCTGTGTTTACATGGATTCAGTGTTGGGCAAAGAGAAAATTAGAGCCGCGATCACCATCAGGAGTGAGATGATCATTCCAGCTTGTGATACTACCCCAACCTCTCCCACTACAAACCCTCTCCCTGCCCAATCTGTCTCCCCCACACTGGCTGGCATCCCCCACACAAGCCACCCAATCCAAACCAGATTGCCATGGAGACACCATGAGTGATGGCCTGTCCAAAGTGAACCACGAGATACCCAGCGTGCTTGGGCATGTTCCTCCTCCTGATTGCCCCTCCCTGAGCTTCCAGTGTGCCCATACCCCCCATCTACCTTGCCTTTGTCACAAGTCCCCGTTACTGCTCTCACATGCCCACTGTCTTGCTTCCCTGGCACACCAAATATCCTATTGCTCAGACCCTGCCTCCACTATTACAGCTTACTACCACTTTGGGTCATTTTACTTTAAATTTCAGAAGGCAAGCAAGATCTTTTTTTTTTTTTTGGTTTTTCGAGAC